TGACTTTCAAATCAATAAAGTGTGGATTTTTATCATTTTATCAAAAGGAATCATTATAACAGAAGCCATAAAGTAGAACGCATACAGACTGGCATAACTTTCCTGATAGCGAAGCATCAGCAATTCACAAACTGTCATTTGTATTTTAGCAATTTATCAGCATCAAAACAATGATCTTTTCCTGCATGAAGGAAGCGTATTTACCGTCGCATCCTCCCCGGCGTAATGTCCGATGACTCTGGACCCTCCTGGATGCCTTTTGACCCACTGACTGATGTTGTAAACCTTTCGGTTGACCACCAGCCACTGGTCGTTTCGGTTGCGGTGCTTCTGCACCTCCTCCCAGGTGTAAACGCCTGCAGTCTTCCCGCTGCCTGGCTCTGCAGGCTCCGTCTGCTGTCCTCCGCCTCCCATCCTCCTCTCTGCTGCTGCTGCTGCTTCCTGGATTCACCTGTTCACAAGAGGACCAGTCTGCCCTCACAGACGGATGGGGAAAAGGAAAAAAAAAAACATACAACCACAATCTAATCAGGTGTGAACGCGCTTAAAAAAAACTCCACAATAGATCCAGCTAGCAGTAATGAAGCATGCATTGTTCGGCTGAGCTTAACATAAACCCTCTCAGATGATGCTTTCACTTTTGACTCACAAATATGGCGGCGATCAGGTGTATTACAACAAATATTTGTAACTTACAGCATCCAGATCCGGATCTGCTTTCCACACACACATACACCAAGCCCTTCACCTTCAGCGCCGTCCAGCTGCTTTATAAAAGCAGGAAGGCGATCATAAAAGCCGACCAGGTTGGCAGTCCTCCCTGATAGGCCCCGGTCACTCACTCACTCACCCTCCTCCCAACACGTTTCTTCGTCCCTTGCGAACTTCGAGCGGATCTTTCGAGGCTTTCTGACCAATCGGAGAAGAGCAGCTCTGCCTCGTTGGAGCGCTGCCTCTGCACCATGGGACAAGATGCTGCTCAGGCAACGCCAATGTTGAGGAGCGGGTTCGGATCAGACTATGGACAATCAGCTGCAGGGACCCCCTAGAGGCCGAACCCCGGAAGTGCTGCTTGTTTAACACGGGGGTGAATTAAATAGGCCATGGGTCATAACGGTTTGTGTGTTTCAGCTCCAGCTGCAGCTGCGACACTTTGTGGTTCACACAGATTATACAAATGGGTTAGGGATTATCTAAAGTAGTGACTATTAGAATGATGCAATGATTTATAATTTTACAATAAATGCAAATGTTTTACTTTTTCTGATCAGAATGGACAAGGAGTAGGCAGCTTCCCACAGACTGCCTGCACATATTTCTTACAAAACAGGTTACACAATGTGCAGATTACAAGTCCTCTCGTTTCTTAGCACCAGAGCCCCGCTGGCTGCCAAACACATATAACTAAACAATACAACACACAGAGCTAGGTTTTGTCTGTGTGGTCATTTTATGTCTTTCTAATAGCCTTTGTGCAGCAGATGGTGGATATAAAATGTTCCCTTGCGATGCATGCCCTTTGGACGTTTCCTTGTTTGGTTGAACTTCAATGTAATTTATTATTTTTATGTGGCAGAACAATAAAAAATAACTTAATTATTAAGTGAAATGGTCAATTTTTTATAAGTATTGCATACATTCATGTTTACAGTACTGAGTCAATACTTAAAATGTACTACAACTTAAATTGTTTCAGCATTGACCATCCAGAAACTTAAAATTGCTCTCCATTGCAGTAAATGTCTAACATCACTGGCTGGTTTTCCTATCCCTGCTGAATTAGAGCGTTCCCACACCATGATGACAGATTTAGTGTGATATCAAATGTTATTGTTTAGCAACACAAAACATTCTTACTCTTGACTACTCTATCCACAGCGAGTAACTGTGATGAATGAAGAAGAACCTTGTTTCAAATAAAAATTCACCTGGCTTTGTTGTTCTAATATTCTAATTTTCTATCTGCTGTGCCATTTGAGATCAATTGAATATTCGGCAAATTTTCCTTTTCTAATAATATGCACAACATACTTTGAGTTTTAGTTTCATTTTTCATTTTGTTTCAGTTTTGTGTCCAGTTGTGGAAACTTGTCTTTCTGGACATTTTCTAAATGTCAATTAATGTCTTTTTTTGTCTCTTTGCAGTTCTTTTATGTGCTTATCAACTCTTCCTCCTGTAAGTTCCTGTTAATTTTTGTCTCCTAGGTGTTATTCAGCATTTGCTCCATGTTTGAAAGCGTTTAATTTTATTTGACACTTTCTCACTGCGGTTCTAAAAGCAGATCATGTGAAATAATTACTTTAATCTATTAATTTAAGCACTGCAGATAGATCTGCAATTACAGTGTGGAAGTGTGTCCATCATTTTCCACTTTATTTTTTATCTGGTAAAACGTAATTAGATGTCTTAGTAATTAAAGTCTGATAGGATTTGCCAGAATTCAATACAAACTTTCAGTTAATCACTGTTTTACTTATACAATCAAAACTTTAATTTGATCCTTTCACCAACTGGTCTCTCTGTTTTTAGTCTATCACATTATAAGCTATTAATATATTTATGAATGCTAAGCTTCGGTGTTATAAAAAAGAGGATAGAAACCTAATCCTGTCATTTTGAATATGGTTAGTGTAACCCTTACTCGTGTTTGAATTTGGTTAACTTATTGATTATTTGGCTAATGATATGTGCTATTTAAGAACAGTGACAGTGTTTTCCCCTTTCAACTCACGACACAGTGCATCTGGAAAGCATTCACAGCTCTTCACTTTTTCTACATTTTGACAAACTCCATCAGGTTGGATGGGAGATGCACATGCAACCATTTTCAGATCTCTACAGAGATTCACAGAGTGGTTCAGAAGTCACTCCCTTGAGATTTTGCATGTTTTGTGTAGTCCTGCCGAAAAATGAACCGCAGCTCTAGTCGGAGATCAGGAGCGCATTTGACTTTCAAATATCGTTTGAACATTCGCTTGTTAGTTGGGCATTTCTATTAATGATGACGATTTCTTGCCTGCAGCTAATCAAAACATGCATTTAAGATTCGCATATTACATCAAATCAATAAAAAACAGTCTTATAGCAAAATTGTGAATCTAAAGAAAAATGTGATTAAATTCTTATTGTATCATGCAAAATATTTATTAGTGGGGAAAAATACAAATTTTATGGACATTACTACTCAGTGGAGAGTCAGTGCTGCAAGGAAACGCGATCTGCTAATAAAGAAATGGTAACTGGAGACGATGCATTCATCGGGAGGTCCAGGCAGCCGCAGCATGACCCAGATTCCCACAGTGAACAATCAGCTATTTATGTTCATTTCATGTGGCTGAAGAGATGTGAAAAAAGCATGTATTTACTATGGGTAATGTTTTTTTTTATTGTTGAGGGATTGTTTTATCCTCTCTTCCAAACTACATTGGAAAAAGTGAGCTTTGCCTTCACTTTAAAAGAGACATATCGCCACAAGAGAATATTTCAGTAAATAATGTATTTCTAAACACCAGGAGCCCCAAATTAATTTGATGTTTATTTACAGACATTTCACCCTAATAATTATACAAATGGTTATACTTATAGTACTGCCTTCATGTACTTATAGTACTATGAAAAAGCACTACAGTCCTTACAGATCTCTTTTGTTTTTGCTATTTAAACACTTTCTTGTCAACAAAATATAAGTAACCTCATCATCTGGGACAAGGTAACTAAAAGGCTACTTAGTAACCTCATCTCAAAGAATGAGGTTAGCAAGTAACCAGAAACTTGTCTTCCAAGTTGAGAATGAGGTCCTGCCTCATTTGGAGGTGTTTAAGCATCTCAAGGTCTTTTTCACAAATGAGGGAAAATAATGTAGCAGGCGATCGATAGACAGATTGGCGTGGCGTTTGCAGTGATGCCAGCGCTATACCGTTCTGCTGTGGTGAAGAGAGCTGAGCTGTAAGGCGAATCTGCCAATTAACAGATCAATCTATGTTTCTACCGTCATCAATGGTCACACCTTTTCTCTGCAGGTCATCTGGGCTCTCCCTTAGAGACTGGTTGAGAATCAAACATGCTGATATTTGTCTGATGGCCTGGGGATGCTTTCTTGCTTCTGAACGTGGATAATTTGCTATGATTGATGGCACATGAATACAGAAATAAAAATGTCCATCCATCTGTTCAAACTTTATGCTCTTGAGTTATGCACTAGGACAATAATCTGAAATGCCCTATCAAGTCCACCTCCAAAGAAATTGAAGGTTTTGAAGTGACAAAGTCAAAGTTAAGAGTGATTACAACAGTGTGGTATAATAATTAACAATAAATTCAAACTTACACTAGGTAGCACAACCAGCAACTATGTAAATGGGGACATTACCTTTTCACATAGGGCCAGCTTGTTCTGAATGACCTTTTAAAATTAATAAATGAAAACCTACTTGAAAAACTGAATTTTGTTATCTCAAGTTAATTTTGTCAGTCTGAACTGGAAAGCGGAGAAGTTCCTAAACCTGCTTTGTGATGCAGATGTTGATGTCCCTTCATAGTGTTTAATCTCTTCACATCATGCTGTCCATGAGGAGATGATAGTGGAGAAAAAGATAGAACAAAAACATATCAGCTTCAGATGAGAAGTGCTCATTTCCTCAACTATACATCATTTTTATAAAACACCAAACAAATCACAGGTTTTTGTGCTATAAAAGTTTCACCCTCTTGTGATTCCTCTAACTGTTGTCTTGAAGGCAATATATTTTTCAGATTAACAAATGCTTGTCAAATGTTATTTTTCCACTATATAATTCATTTTGTTTTGTCTTGAGGGAACCTCCCCAAAATGTCCTTCCTTATGCATTTCTTCTAAACTTGTCATTTTTGTAGGCATGGTTATTGATTGAAACTTGCAACAACTTAAAATATGCTCCGTTTAAAGCACGGGCTATCACTCTGCAGTGTTACATTGAACTCGATTTTGTGTTTTATGACAAAAATAATTGACACATAGGAAAACAGGAAAATACAAAATGTTTTATTTGTACTTCTAAAATATTTTGCAACATCTATGGGTGCATAAATCATTTCATTCAATAACTTTGGTCATGATTGCTAAAATTCTTTCTATAAGTTCCTACATATTACAACACATCCATCAATAAGTATACAATAGAAAGTTACTTACAAAATTTAACAAAAATTTGATTATTATTTTTTTAACGAATATTTCTTATGTTTGCCTCTGCAGTAATAACACTAAATGTTGTAATAGACAACAACTTGTTTATTGTGTAACAAAGAACAAACTTATTTAAATGGTTGCAGGTCTACAACTGAAGAAAGCAAAATGACAATATTTAACTTTTGTATGACAGAATGATTAAAATAAGAGGACAATCATTCTATCAGTAAAGTTACTTCTTACTATTGGAAAAAAGTCATCATATTAACTGTCTTACAATCAGTCAGTCTGACTGAAAATGTTTACCAAAAAACATTTAGTTAATTATCTTATTTAAATTAAGATAACTGAAATAATCTTTAAGCTTCACATTTAAAATCCTATTAGCTTTAAATAGTTTTTCAGTCAATTAACTACACCATCTTCAAAAGTGGATAAATTAGTTAGGTTTCAGTTTGTTTTGTTTAATTCTCAACACACACAATGTTTTTGATGCAAAAGAAGATCACTTGATTTATAAGCAGCTCTTCATTTATGAAGATAAGCATCAAGCCAGAGATCACCTGAAGTTTTCAGCGAACTGAAAAAAGCAAGAAAGGGGAAAAAATGGGAAAACATCAGTTTGTAACCAGGCTGGTGAGCAGGCAAGCAGTGTGCTGTGAACTGGAAAAAGACAGATTAGCTCTGGCATCATTCATTTTAAATCAGCTGAAGGATTATTTTCAATTTAGTTTAAATAAGTGTGATTTCTGCTTCAAGTGCCTGTCCTGTCTGAGTTTTTACCTGACAACATCAGTCATGCCTCGCCATAACGTTTTCATCTGGTAAGAGATCCCATGTTTGTCACACAGCGCACGGACCCTCGGAGCAACCAGGTGGTAGTTGTGCCTCGGCATTCTTGGAAACAGACTTAAAAATTTTGAATCAAATTATTACAAGAATCAAAGTCAAACCAACTAATTAATTAATAGTAGCTTAAAATGTCTAATAGTTTAAGACCAAAGTCATACCCCACCCACTGAAGAATGGCATTATTAAATCAGAAACAATAGAGAACTCAAAGTGTTAACAACGCGAAAGCCACGCATAACATTTTTAATGCCAGGTAAGATATCTGGCAGTGTCTTTCATCTGAGTGGCAACAACAGATTAATAGGAAAAAGGTATTAGTATCCAGATTTGTCTTGCAAACGAGAGGCCAGCATTTTCATAAACCGCTGTCGACTTACTGGTGTTCGATTTGAAAGTTGAGGTGTCCGCTGAACCAGTCATTGAAAACGGACTTTTCTATATTACATGTGGCTTGTAACTGAAACAGAAAATAGTGCAGAAGCTTGTTAACGATGCTCCTCCCTTAGAGAGGGACAAAATGACAATAAACACTTTTCTGATGAGACAAATGAGGCCTTTCAAATCAACTAATATACACTCATTGATTTTTAACACACAGTAAACTCCTTTACATGTCTCAAAACAATTCTTAGAACCACAGTGGAGCATTTCCACAACTAACAGAGCAAAAAATGTTGCTGTGAAATTTATGAGAACATAATATCCTGAATAATTAACATTTTAGTTGATTGTTTCAGCTAAAATAAGTCAAGAACTTTTGAGTAGCTGCAGTGGGAATATGAGTTAGTACAAAGTTTGTTGCTTAATAAATGTATCCCAATTAGTGTGATGAATAGAAGCCTCTGAAATGAGCTTATAGACCTTAAATGCCAGTTTGGATGGCAAATGACACACTATGCTCAGTTTACCAGCACAAAATTGAGTCTTTAGTGTTTTAAATGATAGGTTAACAGGCAATGTTTTCAATTTAATGCACGATTTGAGGAGTCTGTTCAAACTTTCTCTGTGAATTACACAACTTATTTTCTGGCTTATTTAATCTATTTGTAAATCACAGAGGCTGTAATTGCTTGGCTGATGAGGTAGAAGGCAAAAAAATGTGATAATGGAGCACAAAGTAGTGCAAAAGAAAAGTAATACATGTTTAACAATCGTTAGGTAGAAATCTAAAATGTGTGAACTGCATTTGTGGTTTGGCCACCCAAGTCAGTGATTCACAGAGACACCTTTGCTGAATTAAAACTTGGAATGTAGGAAAATACGTACGTTTCTAGATAGGTTTAACTTTATCTGTGTTGAAACTTATGGCAGTTTGACCTTACAGGTCAGGCAAGACAAAGTAATAAAGCACAAGGGATAATAAAAACTAGCCAAGGCCAGTTGTCTGCATTGGACACATCAGAATGTCAATATTTTTGATCTGTCTCTCTTATCACATGCAAGATTAAATGTTTCCTTGCTAAAAAATATATTTTATGGATATATATATTTTTTAAATATACGTTTGATTAAAAAAAAAAACAATGTACCTGCATAGTTAGCCAGTCTCTGTTCTTTTCATGATCTATGTTCATTGGAAGATGGTTCATCTGAGTCACCCAGACAAACCAGTGACTCTCCAAAAACCTGAAAAATAAGCAATTTTAAAAATATCATCTAAAGACTCTGCATTTCATACATTTACAGTTTTTGACATTTCTTATTAAGACATGTCCTTTAATAATAACATACATATTTTGGTGGCAGATAACCTAACATAATGGTCTATTATGCACTCATAAAGGTTATAAGAATTTAACAAACATCAACAAGATGTGACTCACAGGTCAGAATCAGTTAAAACTGCCTGATCCATCCAGGGTCAGAGCCACAATTTAGGAAAATTGTGTGCAAAATACAAACAATATTTAATATCTACATGAATTGTTAATTAAATATTAGCATTGTCATTATAATTTTTTTGATTATAAAAAAAAAAGAATGTTTCTGCAGAAAAAAATAAGCTACACTGTGGTTCAGTTGATGATTAGGAAATGGTCTGCTTTGGTGAAAGTCTAAATTACTCTAAGCTCAGAAAAAAAAACTTGACAACAATATGAAACACATAATAAAAAGTACTATTTACTCATAGAATATAAATAGTTTTCAACAGTTTTTTAGACACAGGTCATACGCATAAAACAACTTTTGGAAACAGTTGGGAATCTTTTCGATCAGTTGCTAAATGAATGAAACTAACAAGCAAGCAACAAATGACTAAATAATCAACAATTCAAATTCTTACCTAACAAAGAGGTTGAGAGCCACAGAGCCGAAAAAGCCATATAGGGGCATGTAACAGGAGAAATATCGAATATAAAAGGACAAATACCACGCCAGATCCTTCAAATGACAAAAAAGAGGAAAAGCACAATTTCATTGTTTAAAACATTTTTTCTCAAGTTTTGTTTGCAAATTCTGATAAAGACAAAAATACTCTTGAACATGTTTTAGATTATTCAATAATTTTCAAAATTACTGGACGTTTGGTCTTATTTATTAAATTTTTACATGATAATCTGTTTCAAACTCTTCCACTTAAAGCTTGTTAGTTATCTTTAAAAGGTACAGATCAAAAATAGATATTACATATAATAGAATATTGAATAGCAGCTTTAAACTTTTTCTATTTTTCATTAGCAACTGTTTGGACTTGTGCGACTTTTAACAACAGAAGAAGTAATTTATTGCTTCTAAGAAATATTCAATCAAAATTTTCCTTTCAATTTACCATGATAAAATACTTTATGTAGGCCTGTACCAATACAATACATTAAAGTGATATGTTTACAGAAACCTTTATCATTTGTGGCTTTTTTAGAAATGTAAATAATTACATGCACTGCAAAGCAAACGGTCCAAAATCTTACCACCCAGTTTCTGCGAGAAATCATGACGTGTAGATTTTGCAGGTTGAAGACGACTGGGACGAGAAGAGGCGGCCCCACTGAAACAGAGGTTTATTATTATGAGTAATTTATTTATTTTTGTCATAAAATATTGTTCATGACTTCTGACAAACATACATAAAAAGAAGTACTGGTGCTGGTAATTGTAGGGCATGTGTTTGATCTTCTTCATGCCGTACTGAGAGATGAAAAAAACAGTTTGTGAGCTGCTACGAATTTCTTAAAATACTTAAAACAAATCTTCCAGCTGCTTGCCTCTACAGGTTGAACAGATCCAAGAACAAAGACGCCCGACATGTTGACATCAGGATCTTTGCTCAGGATGTTTGGTTTGGCATGATGATTGTAATGCAGGTGATTCCACCAGCTGGCTGCAGCTCCCTGTAAAGCATAGGACTCTTAAAAACAGGAAAAAATTACCAAAAAATGTAAAACATCAAAACTAAAAAGGTTACCTTTAAATGTCCAATAACAAACTTGTGGACCAGGTGATTCCACTTGGACTTCTTGAAGACAGAGAGGTGACCAAAGTCATGCTGCAGCCATCCAGCCTGCGCCTGGCAAAAAAAAGTAATATTTTCTATTATCTAAGGTGATTTAATCTTCATGTGACAGGACACTTTGTTGAACTTACTTGAGATGTTGCCAACATGACAGCGCACAGTAAGGTCAGAGTCCAGCTAGTCCCCCAGTACCAGACCATCATCCATGCGAGGGCCTCCAGTAGCAGGATGTGACCCAGATGGAGGCAGAAGAATAAAGGTTTGGCTTTAAAAAGTCCTTCCTTCTCCACCTGGGTGCGTAAAGTTTCAAAATCCTGCATGATGGCTGCCTGTGGAAGAGAAAAGGGAAGCTGTAACAATGTTTTGTTAATACCTTTTCTGAAAAAAAAAAAGGTCAATGAGTAAATATTGAGAGTTATCTGAGATCTTTGTGAGACTTGAACTATTTGTACATTTTTGTTTCCCTCATGACTTGGCTCTGTTGCTGCCAGCTCTCCAATCAGTAGAGGCTTTAGAAACTTCTGCACAAACTTTTGATCAGGATGGAACGCTGTGAAAGCCTCCTGGAAAATATAAAAGAATAATCATATTATCAGTACAGCTTGGAGTAGAAGAAAATGTCCTGTAACACAGAAGATATTTTCCTCAAATTTGTGTTATTTCATACACCATCACATTCTGATTTTCACTTCTGCTTAGATAATTAAAATATGATCTTCAGATTTAGGTTCATTTAATCTCATTTGCACTTTCAGCTTTTATGATATATTTATAAAAAGAAATGATAAACAAAACTCATTGTGCTAAAACCTTTACCTTTAATGCTTTGTAATGGCAAACTGTGACAAGAAGATTATATTGGGCTTTTATATAATTGTCAGATGTATGTCATGAGAAAAATGTTATATGACCACTAATTGAAGAATTCAACAACACCATTCAAGTTCTCCCTTGGGAACCTATTGCAAGTGAAGGATGCCCCTGGCTGATTTATTTCCTTCCTTGAAAAAGGCCAGACTCTAAAACCTTTTAGCCTCATAAAGTTGTTCCACCCGCCACAAGTCTGGCTGGAGTTTCAACCTTGTCACAATATACAGTTAGGGCCAGAAATATTTGGACAGTGACACAGGTTTTGTTATTTTAGCTGTTGACAAAAATATGTTCAGAAATACAATTTATATATAATATGGGCTGAAAGTGCACACTCCCAGCTGCAATATGAGAGTTTCCACATCCAAATCGGAGAAAGGGTTTAGGAATCATAGCTCTGTAATGCAGAGCCTCCTCTTTTTCAAGGACCAAAAGTAATTGGACAATGGACTCTAAAGGCTGCAAGTAACTCAGAAGGCCTTTCCCTCGTTAACCTGTAATCAAGTAAGTAGTTTAAAAGGTCTGGGGTTGTTTCCAGGTGTGTGGTTTTGCATTTGGAAGCTGTTGCTGTGACCAGACAACATGCGGTCAAAGGAGCTCTCAATTGACGTGAAGCAGAACATCCTGAGACTGAAAAAAAAGAAAAAAATCCATCAAGAGATAGCAGACATGCTTGGAGTAGCAAAATCAACAGTCTGGTACATTCTGAGGAAAAAGGAATTGACTGGTGAGCTTGGGAACTCAAAAAGGCCTGGGCGTCCACGGAAGACAACAGTGGTGGATGATCGCCGCATACTTTCTTTGGTGAAGAAGAACCCGTTCACAACATCAACTGAGGTCCAGAACACTCTCAGAGAAGTAGGTGTATCTGTCTCTAAGTCAACAGTAAAGAGAAGACTCCATGAAAGCAAATACAAAGGGTTCACATGTAGATGCAAACCATTCATCAATTCCAAAAATAGACAGGCCAGAGTTAAATTTGCCCAAAAACACCTCAAGAAGCCAGCCCAGTTCTGGAAAAGTATTCTATGGACAGATGAGACAAAGATCAACCTGTACCAGAATGATGGGAAGAAAAAAGTTTGGAGAAGAAAGGGAACGGCACATGATCCAAGGCACACCACATCCTCTGTAAAACATGGTGGAGGCAACGTGATGGCATGGGCATGCATGGCTTTCAATGGCACTGGGTCACTTGTGTTTATTGATGACATAACAGACAAGAGTAGCCGGATGAATTCTGAAGTGTACCGGGATATACTGTCAGCCCAGATTCAGCCAAATGCTGCAAAGTTGATCGGACGGCGCTTCACAGTACAGATGGATAATGACCCCAAGCATACAGCCAAAGCTACCCAGGAGTTCATGAGAGCAAAAAGGTGGAATATTCTGCAATGGCCAAGTCAATCACCAGATCTTAACCCAATTCAGCATGCATTTCACTTGCTCAAATCCAGACTTCCGACGGAAAGACCCACTAACAAGCAAGACCTGAAGGCTGCGGCTGTAAAGGCCTGGGAAAGCATTAAGAAGGAGGAAACCCAGCGTTTGGTGATGTCCATGGTTCCAGACTTAAGGCAGTGATTGCTTCCAAAGGATTCGCAACAAAATATTGAGAAAAAACTTTTTTGTTTGGGTTATGTTTATATGTCCAATTACTTTTGAGCTCCTAAAATGTGGAGTGTTTGTAAACAAATGTGTACAATTCCTACATTTTCATCAGATATTTTTGTTCAACCCTTTAAATTAAACGTTACAATCTGCACTTGAATTTTGTTGTAGCGGTTTCATTTCAAATCCAATGCGGTGGCATGCAGAGCCCAACTCACAAATATTGTGTTACTGTCCAAATATTTCTGGCCCTAACTGTATGCAAATTGGGCCATTTTTAGCTACAGTTTCAGGCTCTGTGCATAAATAAATGTCCGCCAAAAAATATGAAGACTCGTCTTCACCAGTCTGTAATTTTGAAACCCAGGAGGTCACTGTGTCTCCTCACTTATTCAACATCTGCCACTAAACAGTTCTTTGCCCTTTGTTGGTCCTTTATTATGATGCCTTCAGTGGTCATCACTAGCTCAGTTTTCTCTTTGGTGTTCTTTCTGGTAAAGTCTGATGATAAAAATGTTTCTTCATGAAGTATAGTTGTGAAAATATGATTGTTTTTGTTTTTACTTTTTGTTTGTGCTCAAATGCAGGGCTAAATTAAAACGTCAGCAAAGAAAATCATCCTCAGTCATGTAAATGATCCAATGACACTTTAACAGCACATTAGCTTGTTAGAAATGCTAATATTTATAAATGGTGGGTCTTGAACCTTTATGTGGACATTTTACATTTTTAAAATACAAAAATGTACAATTTAATAGCACAAAATATATTTTTTTAATTTTTATTTAAATTAGATTTTTTTTTGTATTTAAAACTTTAATTGAAAAACTCTTTCATTTTTAAATTAAATTTTAAAAATGTAATTTTTTCAGAGGCATCACTTGATCCCTCTAAAGTATTCAGAAGGACCAGACAAATATGATGTCCTGGCATTGAGTTTTATAATCTAAGAAAGCTTGCTATGTAAAAAAAAAAGAAAGAAAAAAAAGGTCTTGTTTACTGCCAATATAAGTTTCAGCCTAATTCACACTGCCAGTCAAATTGATGTAATAGATTCATTTCCATCTTGTGTTAGCAACATTTAATGCTCAAGTAATCCTTTCCTTTGCATCAAATAGCCTGCAGAGGGAAGAAATTAATGGTGAGAATATTGCACTTCACAAAACAGCTTTTGAGGTTTCAGGTGTAAATACAATCCACCAAATGGGAGGAATGTCTTCCCCTGAAACACAGAGATAATGTGTCCACTGTGTCATACCATGCAATCAGAGACTGAATAAATCATTTTGTAATTCTCTGTAACTGTACATTTTATCATATTAAATAGTTGCTGTACTGTATGAGCCAGTCATATTCTCTCATTCTTGTTGAATCCCAATGTAATGTTTTACATTGGGATACATTGGAATATATTTCACATTGATATAAACTGAAGTAGTTTATATCAAACTGCTTCAAAACACCAGACAGTATTTTTTTAAATAAGGTTTTATGTCAACAGTTAGTTCATGAATGCATCCTGTTTTTATTCTGATTAAAGAAGCGACATTACTGTAGCATCCTCTCCACCATAGTGGCCGATGACATGAGACCCTCCTGGGTGCCTTTTGGCCCACTGGGTGATGTTGTAAACCTTTCGACTGATGACCAACCACCGGTCATTTCTGCTGCGGTGCTTCTGGACCTCCTCCCAGGAAAAAACACCTGCAGCCTCAGTCTGCTGGCCTCCAACTCCCATACTGCTCTCTGCTGCTAATGCTGTCTCTGGATCCGGGAAGTTAAACAAAAAATGGCGCGACATAATTAATAATGCATACATGCATCTAGAAATCTGTGTAAAATCACAAGCAGGAGAAGAAAATGTGCCTTTTTGGGTGCTTTTTAAACATGCATAATACATTCTAAATATTTGGTTTGTGGGTATGCAATAGAGATTGTTTTTTTACATTATCTGGCTATTAAGCAATATTAGAGGAAAAATGTAAACTTACACAATCCGGACTCCTGTTGCTTTTCTCCGGATTTCAGTCACGTCCACAAACCTGTTCACGAAAAGACCAACTTTTAATTAGAACAAAGCCATCAGCTCGCTCCCTCTGTTTAGTCATCCCCCTTCCCCAGCACGAACTTCGAGCGTATCATTCGAGGTTTTCTGACCAATCAGCGCGCACCTTTCATACATTTCGGATGGTTTGGTCGGGCCATTAGGGGCGCAAGAAACATACAGGGTCGTCTGAGAGCGCAAAGAGAAAAAAAACCAGAAGGGGCGTGGTGTCTCATGTAACTCTGGAGATGTTGGACATTTCCCAGAAAAAAGATAAACTAAAGCAGTGAAGCAACTGCTGGGTGTAACTCACTGAAATAAACAGATATGCAGCATTTCAGCCTCTTGTTTTGTTGGACTCCTTATTATTCATTTAACACGTTTAAAGCATTTTAGTGATAATAAGAATGAGTCCAAAGGGCTGTTGAGTTTTGACAAATAGCTGCGAAGCTAGAAACTTGTAGATAATTGCAGGGGAACATAATGTTGTGATGGAAAAAATATTTTCTTAAGGTTTTTGTTTTGTCATTAAGTTGTAAAGTTGTTATTTCTTCACTTTCCATAAATACAGAGCATTCCATTTAAATAAAATTGTTCTTCTGTGTTCTTGTAGAAGTAGGACATTTTTATTTGCTCCGAATCTCTGAAATATGCATTATTTATTATTTAATTCAACAATCACAAGGACTTTATATGTTAGGTTCTCGTGAAAACTGGATCATGTTCTTAGTACAATTTTATTCATTAAGATAAAGAGCGAAAATGCCTCTTTGGATTGTGAAACTTCTGTTTGGAATCTGTCACAAGATTTGGAAATTGAGATTCACCGATTGAATTCAGTCGGTTTTTACTTGAGCAACTTTACAACAGAAATGGGTTTAAAAAAGGAAACAAAATAGAGAATAGAAATAGATTTCTAAAAATCTGCTTGTGGCAGGCTTAAGAAACACCATGGAAATTATGCTAACATTTCAAGATAAGTTGGTTCTGCAAAGTATAGATGGTGCACTTTACTCTATGTACTACTATGTGATGGCTGAAAATGTGAATTTATGTTCATCAAACAGTTTTATCAGTTATGCTTTGAGGATGTTTTGCACCATCTCAAGTTGAGTTGGCAAGATTCACAAAGTCCAAAATAAATGTAATGAGGAGCAATATTACCTCACCGTGCCATGTCATGCTGGACCTAAAGAAAGTTCTTTCGTAGGTCACAAGTTTATCATGCAGTAAGATCATGTACTGTACACATGTGCACCTTTATCCTTTGCAAAACTTTCCTGAAGAAATAAAGATAAGGCTGGTGCACAATCGGTCATGCCATGGTCACCGTGGTCACCTGATGTAGTCCACATATTTAAAAAACATTCCTCAATGTTACTTTTATTGATGTTGTTTAAACATGTTAGCTTTATAAAATGTGCAAGGTTTTATGTTTTGAATGCAAGCAGTGTGGTCAGTGCTGTTTTTGTGTTTTTAAATAATTCTCCAACCATTTACTTTTCTGTAAAAAAATATATTTAAAGAAGATGTAATTTGTTTTAACTTCTTCAATAACTTCTGTTGAAACAGAAGAAAATTCAGACTGACTGCAATTTTTTTTTGCTTCTTATTGAAATGGTAAAAGCAAAACACTTCTAACTGTAATTCAACCTCTTAACTTTCCGATGCAGATGCAGTTTTGCACATGTGAAACTATTATAATGCAGCTCAAAGATTATTTGATACTTTTCTGTAAAAGTAGCCATTGCAAGAGCCACAAAGCAGATTTCTAGCACACCTGTCATCCTTAAGAAAAAAGATGCATGGTTTAGTATAGCAGCTAAAATAAAAAAGAAGAGGTCAGCATTTTGTTTTTTATTCAAAGATCACATACAGTTACAACTGAAGGACTGACAGAAGAAAGTTTATATTGTATGTTTTTGATTGAAAAAAATCTTTTATATTTGTCTATCTGAAAAATGATTTATTTTTTTTACAAGAAAAAAAAATTACTGTATCGTCCAGTTCACATTCCACTACGGTTAATCAAAAAATATATAATAAATGCTTCATTCATGGTAAGCATTGCCTCTATGTTATTAAAAATTACAACAACAAAAAAAAAAACCTCTAAAGTTCTAATTTTAACACCAACAAAGTCAGAGGTATATCTTGACTTTTAGCCACGCAAATCAGATAGAGAAAAATTTCAGTCCATTCAGAAACATTTCATCACTTGTGAAGATATGCATCGAGCCAGAGTTCCCCCGAAGTTTTCAATGAGCTAAGAATAAAGAGAAAAAAAAGGAGACAAAACAAAATTTTGGTACATTGCAAAATATCTAACAAGCAGCTGTTTTCTATAAAGACTGGTAATAAAAAGGTTTTGTGCATTTATTCTCATGACATTTCTATTTATTAAGGACATTTTTATATTTACACATTTTGTTGATTCACCCAGTGAATTATTACCTGACAACATCAGCTATTCCTCGCCACAAAGACTTAATTTCATAAGGGACCCCATGCTTCTTGCACATTGCACGGACCCGAGGGGCCACCAGGTGGTAGTTGTGGCGCGGCATCATGGGAAACAGACTGAAGACAGTAAATAACAGATGAGTCCTTATTTATGATGTCACAGCATTTTCCTGCATGAGTTTGAAAAATCTTACACTCATTTCGCGCACATAATCGTTTGACTTACTGGTGTTCGATTTGAAAATTGAGGTGTCCACTAAACCAGTCGTTGAACAGGGACTGCTCAATATTACATGTGGCTTGTAACTGAAAAAGATCGAATGAGAAAAGTCAATATTTAGGGTGTGCAGTCTTTGTAAACAGATTACATCTCAATGATCATGTATTGATGGGTGTCTTCAGCAGACAGGGTGCAACAGACGGACTAAAGAGCAGAGAACAAGAAACCTTTTGGTCAGGCAATATCTACACTTTATCAATAGTTTCCTATCTTAATTTGGTGAGATTAGGTTTATTACCTGCTGCCAAGATTGCATTAAAAACAGACATATGCTTCAGAAGAACTGCAGTAAAAACTGCAGAGTTCCATCCAAGGCAATTTACAACATACGCCATGTTACCCAAAGTTTTAGTAAAACATCCAAACTGTTCTAAATGCTTGTAAATAAAAAAAATAATTACAACTTTTTTCATTAAATTAGCATTACAAAGCCACTGATTTAAATTATTATCTAGCCTGTGTTTGAAGCAGCTCAGCAGATTATAGGCGCCAAATTGTTTGGGAGGTTGAGTTCGGCAGACGAGCAATATCAGCAGAATACAAATCTTTATTATGACAGTTATATGGTTTTCTTTTCATAAATCAGGCACCTGCATCGTCAGCCAGTCCTGGTTCTTCTCATACTCAATTTCCATTGGTATGTGATTCATCTGAGTCACCCACACAAACCAGTGACTCTCTAAAAACCTGCAAAACAAACAACGAAAAGCAAACACTGCGTTCATGTGAGCCAAAAGCCCAAAATGGAAAATTATTTTATAATAGCAAATTAGTATATAATGATGCTTTTGAGAAAGAAATAAGAACTATATTTATGTGGAACTAACATAAATATAACAAAATTAAAATCAGAGGTTGTCTCATTTACAATTAACAGAAAACAAACATAAAATCAGACCTCACCCATCAAATCTTTTCAGTTTTCTTCAGAATACTTACCTGACAAACATCATGAGTGCAAATGAGCCAAGAAAGCCGTACAGAGGGGAATAACAGTAGAAATAGCGAAAGTAGTACGACAAGGACCAAGCCAAGTCCTGCAAAACAAAACAAAAATCAGATCATCTAAAAACTTGTTTCTGGTTAAGAATAATTTGTCTTTCATCTTGTGTGGTAGCTAAATATGTGTTTTATGTAGGCTTAAATTGAAATCCTATTCCAACTTATGTAATGATTCTGCACCGCGCGGTGTCTGGCTTCTTACCACCCAGTCACGACGAGTAATCATGGTGTTCATTATCTGCATGTGAAAATAAATCGGTATGAGCAGCGGAGGTCCCACTGCAAAAGAAATATTCATTATTCCTGGAAAGCTATTATAATTTTCTAATTAGCTTTTAATGACTCCCAACAAGCATACCGAGAAAGAAGTATTTGTGCTGGTGATTGTAGGGCATGTGTTTGATCTTTTTAATGCCGTACTGTGACAGAGAGAAGGACAGAGATGGTTGAGCAGCTATATGACAGTTTGCATTGTGTGAAACATTTTTCCTTTCAGCTGCTTGCCTCCACTGGTTGAGTCTTTCCCAGTACAAAGACAGCCAACATGTTGACATCGGGATCTTTCTTGATGATGTTTGGTTTAGCGTGATGCTGGAAATGTCGGTGGTTCCACCAGTTGGCTGAAGCTCCCTATAAAATCTCTCTGTTAGCATCCATGCAGAAATTATTCAAAGGGCGGAAACCTATGCAGTCACCTTTAAGTGTCCAATGACAAACTTGTGAACCAAATGATTCCACTTTGACTTCTTGAAGACAGAAAGGTGACCAAAATCATGCTGCAGCCATCCAGCCTGTGACTGCACAGAAGAAGGTAAATTAGCATGAGATTTAGTTTCTAAACCACAAAAAATTGAAGTAATTTATGAGTTTAAATCACTTGAGATATTGCCAGCATCACTGCACACAATAGAGTCATCGTCCAGCTCGTCCCCCAGTACGTGACCATCAGCCAAGCTAGGACCTCCAGCAACAGGATGTGACCCAGATGGAGGCAGAAGAATAAAGGTTTGGCTTTTAAAAGTCCTTCCTTCTCCACCTGGGAGCGTAAAGACTCAAAATCCATTATGATTGCTGCCTGGAAGCACAGAATGAAATAGTTTTTTTGTTACAGCTATACTAAGATGTAAAACTGTTGAACTAAAGCAAAAACTTCAGTTGCAATAAGAATATTAAGAACATGTTATTCAGTTCGAAACAATGGTGTTTTGATGCTGCAAACTCAGATCAGATTTCACTCACGTTTTTTTCCCCGTCCTGACTCGGCTCTGTCACCGCCAGCTCTCCAACCAGCAGAGGCTTCAGAAACTTCTGCACAAACTTCAGATCTGGATGAAAGGCAGTAAAAGCCTCCTG